TTTTTTTTTTTTTTTTTTTTTTTTTTTTTTTTTTTTTTTTTTTTTTTTTTTTTTTTTTTTTTTTTTTTTTTTTTTGCATAGAAGTGAGATGTATCAATTTTTGTGATTGTTTATCGTTAAAATCTTACTCATCTTTGTCTTTCTTGACTTACGGTAATTCTTTGGTTGTTTCAATGATTCATTCGATTGCATTTAGATGTGCCTTCATAAGTATAGGAATTCACTGTTTTTTTGTTTATTTGATCATGTTTGAAACCAATATCATAACTTCACATAATAAATATCATTGAAGGGGGAAACAATGTTGTTATTTGTATTTGCTGCAGAACTTGCGTTAAACAATGTGAAAAAATAGGATGCATTGATCAGCAATGCTTTCCTCAGTGCAATTTCTCTGTGGATGGTGTTTCTATTGATCAGCCATGGTATATGCAAGAACCACTTTACTTAAAGTGGAAGCAATGGGACTGCCAAAGCGATTGTCGTTACCATTGTATGGTCAAACGAGAGGGTGAAAGAGAAGCACTTGGTTATCATCCTGTTAAATATCATGGCAAATGGCCCTTCAAGCGTATATATGGGATCCAGGTTTGTCTTATCAAGTTACTTAAGCAACTCACATGAAGTTGGAGTTGAAATGATACCTATTCATGCTTATGATTATTCTTGTGCATTATGTGCCCAGGAACCTCTTTCTGTAGCATTCTCTGCCCTCAACCTTTCAATGCATTTTCATGGCTGGCTGTCCTTTTTTATCCTTCTATATTACAAGTTACCTTTGAGACAAGACAAGAAGGCATATTATGAATTTTCCAGTTTGTGGCATATTTACGCACTCTTTTCAATGAACTCTTGGTTTTGGAGCACTGTTTTCCACAGTCGGTATGCCTTTTAATTTTGTGTACACGAATTATTATTGCAAAAAATTCACCTGTGTTTATATTCTTGGCTTCAGATTTTGTTGTCTTCTAATAGGATTAAGAAGATTGCAAATAAGCTCATATTGTGCCATATTTCAATTTTAAAATGTATCATCTTTGTAGCATGCCCTGGTTGTAACTACGTGCCATTGAAGTGCAGTGATGTGGATCTCACAGAGAAATTAGATTATTCCTCTGCTGTGGCAGTACTTGGGTTTTCCCTCATTCTGGCAATTCTAAGAAGTTTCAATGTGAGGCATGAGGCTACCAGAGTCATGGTTGCAGCTCCTTTGCTTGCTTTTGCACTTACGCATATCTTATACATCAACTTCTATGAACTTGATTATGGTAATTATTACTCTTATTTTGGTCCCCTTCTGCACTCCCAGGTCTCCAAGACATTGAACAAGTTTAGCAATGTCTTGATACAATTTCTCGTAAGCCATATTTAAGTAAAATGATAACAATTTAGACTGGAGCTAGGCATTCATCTTTGTTAACGTATTTTGTTAGTTTATCAAATTTACTACTTTCATTTTTTGTTCATTCAAGCTATTCTTCTAACTTTGTCCCCTCATATACAAACCAAAGGGCCTAATCTTGGTGATGGGAAGTTCTCATACTGCCTTTTTCTTATTATTGACCTTTTATTTTCTACTGATATGATTGTCAAAATCACTATGGGTCTAATTCCTTGACTGGGTATGGCAGTGCAAGGATGGGTGGTCTTCTCACTGGGGGAACATATGTCTAAATATGCTCAAATGTTTGTTTTATAACATCCCAATACCCTATACTTATTAAATTACTGCTACAAGTCAATATCACAATCTTTTGAGTTTCCATTATCCTTCATGATCATAACAAGTCAAGGACGTTGAACAGCAACCTGATTTATTTGACTTTCAATTTTCAATTCCATTGATATACCGATGTTTGGTTCATGACAATCGACCAAAAACTTTGAAATTTCGCAGGGTGGAATATGATTGTTTGTGTTACTATGGGAGTCTCTCAACTTCTCCTTTGGGCAATCTGGGCTGGTGTCACTCATCATCCTTCTCGCTGGAAACTGTGGACAGTGGTTGTGGGCGGTGGCTTAGCACTACTTCTGGAAATCTATGATTTTCCTCCATATGAAGGCTTTGTGGATGCTCATGCTCTCTGGCACGCCACTACCATCCCCCTGACCTATGTTTGGTGGAGTTTTATCCGAGATGATGCGGAGTTTCAGACCTCCAATCTTCTTAAGAAGTCTAAATAGCTTGCTCGCTCACTCGTTGAACTGACTGGCTTGTTTCATTTGGGGTGTTTCTGGAGATCACAATTTCCCCTCCCCATTCAAACAAAATTAGGCATTGTTGTATAACATTCCAGTTTCTGGGACCTGTTATTCTATTTCCTCCCTCGAGGATCTCAAATTGACTAATTGTACCAGATTTTGATTCGGATTCTTTTTTTATTATAGATTTTGGTGTGCCTATATTTTTTTTTTCAGAAGAATTTAGACCTACGAGTTCTTCAAAGAAATATAGATTCATTTATTGTGAAATCATGCTCATGTTTGCGCTATCAATTTATCCAGATTTATCATTGTATTTTGTTTCAATTCATTTTGTTTTTAAATACATACCAACATCACATGTTAGTAATGTTCTTATATTGAATGATATATCGAATGCTAGTGACCACACGATGATTTGATAATAATTGAGAGAAGGTGGTTCTTCGGAAGATTTAGGATTAGAACTTGAGTTGTATGCAATGAAATGTATGATTTTCAAATCATATAGAAGACCTTCCTGTTGAATATATTGTGGGTCAATGTTTTCACTATGTCTTGTCTGTTCGAACTTAAAAACATTCATGTTTTTAAAATCAGAGTTATAACATTGAAATTAGTTCTCGTCTTCAATGAGAATAAAGATGAAAATTTTGACGTGGTGTGGTCAGCGTACAACATAAATAAATATCCTTTTGTGTTAATGAAATAAAATAACCAAAAATACAATACTCTAGCATTGAATAACAGTAAAACTATGGTATCATCAATTTACAGTAAAACTATGGTATCATCAAACCTTTGAACAAGTAAACAGCCCATGAAGAAGAAACCTTCATGCGTAGGAAGGTACCAACAACTTAGCTCTAGCATTGAGTGATAACCTGCAAGCCCCGTTTTCTCGTTTAGACAACATATTCAAAGTAAAACCAATTTAAGGAACTATGCTCTATATTTCTTCAAAATTGCATAATCAACAAAGGATGAGTTTGTATACAATTGAAGGACTGAAACCGTGGATTGAAAACATGTAAAAACAATACTCATGATGCACATTGCACACGATGATAGGCTCTAATATCATAGACAATGAAACATTAGCGGACTTGCCTGAGATATTAAGGGTTTGGCATGCTCTTCCCACTCGGTAGACCACCTACGAGAACCCATTTCTACTGTGCTGTTCTTTAGCGAATCCAAAGCACTGCATTCATTGGGGAATCCCCTGAAAAGCATCTGCACAGATCACAATAAAAGAACTGAGAATTTTGATCAAATAGTATGCGAAGAAAACATGCATGGGTTAAAGGTAGAATAAAGCGTATTGTTATTACATCTATTCCATCTCATACAAATAATCACGATTATTTAATAGCATCCTTTGATTTTCAAATCTAAGCTCTTGAAAAAGCCCTATCTTTAGTTTTTCATGATTTAACTCATTATAACACTATATCTTCCTTGTATAAAATGACTATTGTCTCTAAATGCACTTTAAAAAACATTGGACAGAAGCATTTTCCTACAATCCTATTTAACATCCCAGTTCAAGGAATAAACTTACCAATAGTTCATCTGCTAACTCTGATGATGATGAAAAGAGTAGACCATTTTTCTCTGCTTTCACAAGTTCGTTGATGCTAGAGGAAAGAAAACAGAAACGTTTACATGCCTTGGGAATGTTGTGTTTCATGGCACACATGCCAAAAGATGTGGAAAAGAAATTACCAAGAGTAGGAAACAGCGCAAACAGGAAGTCCACACCCAAACATATCGACAACCTGTTAATCAAGATGACAACTTGTTTTTTTTTTTTTTTTCAGGAGCTTACAGAAACCAAGGACAGGCAGAACAGTTTTTTTTTTTTTTTTTTTTTTTTTTTTTTTTTTTTTTTTCACAA